TACTTTACAGTACATTACATGAGATTCAAAGAAATATTAAATGAATTCTTATTAATAGACTTTTAAATTGAATTAAATTATATTTATGTAACAATTACTTGATAACTAATAGTTTTGTGTCACTGTACGTATCGTGTTAAACCAATGATTAGTAATTACCACACCGAGCATTTGTGCTTTGGGTTCATTGGTGAATTCACTTTGCAGTTGAACGTCTGTGCAAACTCTGGCAAATTAGAGACCTGTAATTATAAGATAATTATCAATTAGATTCTTGTAATTGTACCAGATCCAAATGGAAATTATTTACCGGTCCAACCACACGGAATTGTGCTGGACTATGTGAGCCCACCTGAACCCTCAACTTCAATACCTCGGGTCTGTATTTACCGCACCAGACGTTGGCGGCGCTGATCCAAAACAGTTGTTGCGGTGTATAGTTGAGACCCGGCAGTGGTTTCTCGGCGCCGTTATCCTTCACCCACTCCTGGTATGCCTAAAGTCATTGAAATGAATGATTAAATTTTTAAAATACTTTTTTACAAATTTAAAGGTTTCTTTAAAATTATTTAAATTTCATAATTCAAGTTATAAATCAATAAATTTTATTTCTTACTCTAAAAGCCTCTTTAATGCCTCCGTTGTCGGCGATATTTTCTCCCTGAGTGTTCACTCCGTTTATCTATTCATAGAAATACACAATTCATTCAATTCATTTTAATAATATGATATAATTTTATATTTTTATTCAAATTAATTATAATACTTTGCCCATTAATATACTTATTTTGCAAGCAATTTGTTTTTCTCACTTAATTTGCATAATTATATAGAGGTTCATTAACTCAGATATGAATTGTTTTATAGTCTTAATATATATCCCTTAATTCAAAAAATATAATGTTTTCCGTAGCGTAATGATGCAAAATTTGAATATTTTCTACATTTTTACTATTGTTTTATAAGCATAACAAAGAAAAACTTAATAATATTTCATAATTATCTTTAAAAACTAATTTGAAATTAACATTAATGAATATCAGCGTTATTTTATTAAAAGTATTAAATTAATAGCATATATTTAAACCAAAACCAAAATTATAAAAAAGTAAAATTGTATGAAATAAAGACCTGCAATGAGTTTTCGGGTACAGTATAGTTGCCGTACTGTTCAATAATACCTGTTGATTAATACATGAATATTAGTTTATATGATTATGTCTTACATGATAGAGAAATATCTACTAACAATTGGCCCTCTCTTTGAAGTTACTGTCAGTCTTAGAGTCCCACCAATTCTTGTTATTCCCGTCTTTGTCAAACTGACGGCCTAACCAGTCGTACAAACAAATTATTATTTAAGAATCTTAACATATCAAATATAGTTCAATAATCAGTTGCTATTTACCTCTGTCATCAAATCCATGAGTAATCTTTTTATAAAATTTTAAATATAAAATTAATAAATTTATTTTTGTAAAGTATACAATGTATTATACCTCGTGTCCAATCACAAACCCAATACCACCAAAATTTAGGTAACTATAAAATAAAATATCAAGTAAATATTTAATAGCTAATTAAGTCAATTAGCAAACTTACTTGGGCTTATCTCTACTGAAGAATGAGCCTTGTAATATACCAGCCGGGAATTCTATGCTATTCTCCAATGCATTATAATATGCGTTCACAACTAAAACAGTAATTATTTTATATTAAATATTGTAATTAAATGTTAAAATTTAATCAATTATAAATTAATTTGTAAAAATTATTAATTTAATAATAATAAATATTACAGTATTATTATCTTACATTTATAAAATTATTTGTCTATTTTATTAATATAAGACTTTTATTAATGTAAGAAAAGCGTCGAGATCCTTCCTTAATTATACACTACTGTAATATTTCTTAGTTTAAAAAATCTTAATAATTTAACACAATTAATTCAAACTGACATTAATGAATTATGTTAAATGTTAGAAACAATTATATAAATTATTTAATAAATAATCAAAACTATTATCAATTGGAGTATAAAAATTGATAAA